AGAGTGTCTGCAACTCCATCCAGCTTGGTGTCATCTGGAAATCTGTTAAGTATGTACTATTCCCATCTATAATTCTGACTTCTGGCAGCATTTTCACTCGTCAGTCTTTGGTTTCATACAAATCTCTGTAAAATGATACCTTCCTGCCTTAGAGGGTTGATGCTGGACTTAGCAGGATTCCTAGCAGGGGTAAATTGTCAAAGAGCCATTAACTCAAATAGAGTTGTGCCAATTTACACTAGATGAGGATCTGATCTAACATTTGGAAAGCTTTTTGAGAGTGCTAGATGGAAAACACTATACGTGTACACAGTATTGTTTACTTAATACAAATCTGTACTCCTTTGATAACGACAGAAAGCTGGCATTTGAAGCCAGGAAGCTCAGTAAATGTAGCCAGGATGAGAGCATCCAGTTATTCCCAGTGTTCTTTAGATTACTGTACTTGTGCTTTTAGTCTGAAAGCATGGGTCTAATGGAATTGCCGGATAGTGTGAAAAAAGTGTGGGGAGATATATTTTTAGTGGAGCATCCTGTGGATGATAATTGATTGAATTCTAGAGCATCTGGATTTTCAATTTGCAATGTTGAAGCAGTACAGTATGTTGGGGAAAGATGGAGTGCAATACTTTAACTCCCACAAAAAAGAAGGTGGTGAAGGTACTGATGTTCAGTTGTTTGGAGTCCTGTACACTAACGGCAAAGCTCATAGCATATGTTCTGCCAGTCTTTGATGATTACCCTGATTATCACTTTTTTTCAACACTATAGCACTGCACTGTGATGCTATCTGCTATCTTGTGAATATGGAATTAAAATACATGTTTAATTTGCTTTACTTGGTACACATTTTTATACCATTTGACCTGACTAGCTAGTAAAATGCAAAGACTTGTAAATGTTACATGGATGGGGAGAAAGTGGTGCGGGGTTTGGATATCTCTGATGTAATTCTGTTTATTCATAAGAAGGTACAAATTCCTATTTTGGTGCAGAACCATACATTTAGGAACAGTCAGCATGAATTCACCAAGGGCAAGTCATGCCTGACCAACCTGATTGCCTTCAATGATGAGGTGACTGACTGTGGATCTAGGAAGACCAGTGGATGTGGTGTACGTTAATTTTAGCAAGGCTTGTGATACAGTCTCCCACAACATTCTCCCAGGCAAGCTAAGGAATTATGGACTGGATGAATAGAGTGTAAGGTGGATAGAAAATTGGCTGGAGCATTGGGCTCAGAAAATAGTAATTGATGGCTCTATGTCTAGTTGGCAGGCGGTATCTACTGGAGTCCCCTAGGGGTTGGTCCTGGGGCTGGCTTTCTCCAGTGTCTTCATCAGTGACCTGGAAGATGGGATAGAGTACACCCTCAGCAAGTTTGCAATTGACACCAAGCTGGGGGGAGTTGTAGATATGCTGGAGCAGGGGTTTTCAACCTTTTTTGACAAGTGCACCCTTTCTGATTTCTGGCTGCCACCCACCACCCCGTGCCACTGCCGCCACCCACCTCCCATGCCACCACTGTGCTCCGCTTTCCCATGGCCGGTTGCATGTGTGGCTCCATGGGCTGCTGACAGGCCTTGTGCCCAGCCAATCACACGCTGCCTGTCAGCAGCCCACAAAGCTGCCGGCTGGGCGGCACCTGTGCGGCCCGCAGAGGGGCACTGCTGCCCTCACCCTCTGCTTCTGGGAGGCAGCAGTGTCAGGTAGTGGGTGGCGGCACAAGGTGGTGGATGGCGGTGGCAGCTGTTGCGTGTGAGCCCTCCACATCCATTCGCAGAGGGGCACCAATGCTCCCCCGCCCTGCCCCACCCGCCCTGCTCTGTCTCTGTCCACTCACGCATACCCTCATCACCTTTCCAAGTACTTCTAGGAGTATGCATACTGCATACTTCTGGTTGACAACCCCTGAGCTGGAGAATAGGGCTAGGATTCAGAGTGACCTAGACAAATTGGAAGATTGGGCCAAAATAAATCTTATGCGGTTCAACAAGGACAAGTGCAGAGTCCTGCACTTAGGATGGCACAATCCCCTGTACCAGTACAGGCTGGGGGTTGACTGGCTGGGCAGCAGCTCTGCAGAAAAGGACCTGGGGGTTACAGTGGACAATAAGCTGAATATGAGCCAGCAGGGTGCCCTTGTTGCTAAGAAGGCTAATGGCATACTGGGCTGCATTGCAATGTGTTGCTAGTAGGTGAAGGAAAGTGATTATTTCCCTCTATTCAGCACTGGTGAGGCCACATTTGAAGTACTGTGTTCAGTTTTGGGCCCCCCACTACAAAAAGGATGTGAACAAATCGGAGAGAGTCCAGCACAGGGTGACAAAAATGGTGAGGGAGCTGGGGGACATGACTTATAAGGAAAGACGGGGGGAACTGGGCTTATTTAGTCTAGAGAAAAGGAGACTGAGAGGAGACTTAATAGCAGTCTTCAACCACCTGAAGATTTGAAAGAGGATGGGGCTAGGCTATTCTTGCAGATGACAGAGGCTGTCCTGGCATCCTGGCTGGTTGTTGAAAATTGAAGCAAAAGTCCTGAATTGGTGGGGCTCAGCTGGAGCAGGGCAGGGTTGTGGGGGTGCGCTGCTGTGAGCATGGGCTGCTAGTATGTGGGGTTCAAGCCACCCCACCCAGCACCTTTCCAAGATGCTCCACACACACATGTACATACATACATACGTACGTATGTGTGAGCATCCCACACTCACAGCAGCACTCTTT